CAATGAAATCAAGACTAAAAGAAGATTATAATATTCTTGCTGTAATTGCATTTAAATTGATCTATTATCAATTTTCACTCATGTAATATAAATTTTTATTGCTTGTCTGATTTTATCTTTCGGTTTATTATTGCGTAGTACGTACGCTATAATTATTAATAACTTGAGTGACAGCAAGTGTTAACTGTCATATATTAATATCATTTGTCATCATTTTTATGTATTGAATAAATGTATATTGCAAAGAAAATCCTTCTGTCCTTCCTGTATGATTTAAAATAAATTCAAAAGTGTGACATTAAACCAAATATTAAGAAGGTTAGTCAAATTATCAATAAATATAAATAAAATATGAGCTATAAAAGATAATCACCGTGCAAGTGACAACACAACAGCACGCTATACATCCTGCAAAAAAAATATTGATCACTATTGAAATACTCAACGTATAAATACATACATCGAATATTTTATCGTCCGCATTGTTCATCAATTATTAACGATTGAAATATTACGATTTTCGAATATTCCAATTACTCAATCGAGCGTATCATTTATTATTTTCGCGTATTCGGTTGGAAATTGATAAGCAGATTACATTTGAAGAATTCAAGAAGCGAGACACATTCAAAATTAAATATTGAACATAAAAAGATAATTATTAATAGTAAGTTATGAATAAAGGATAATATTAAAAGATAATTTAGATCTTTTATTATTCATCATTTCTATTATAATACAAGTGGATATCGCACAAAATCTTTATTCGTATTGTTCGTTATTGAAGCTTTGTTATTTACTATTAATGTAAGATTTCAAAATAGGATAAATGTACAAATTGGTCATGAGAATTGTCATTTGTTATTCACAAGTGGTTTTTTTTTGACGAAATGAAAAGGTATAAATTCTGAATCGCACATAGTCTAGCGCTGGCTTAGGAATTATTGAACCCTTAAATAAATTTGTCTCGTAAATTTAATAATCGTTAATTGTTTATAGAGAACGACTTGTTGAACGACGATTTCTTTCGGTTTATCGCGTGGCGTTACGAGAAATAACACTGTGACATATGGAATTGTTCGCGACAATATCTGCTGAAGTTTCATTACCGAATGATAATGCGATAAATCGACACATATATGTACACGCACGTAAACACATATATACACATACATGCATACATGCATGTTACGCATTTTTATATTAATTTATAACTGCGATTACTTAATTTTCACAATTAACGACGGTTATTCAATAAGCGAATATTTCATAATTTAATTATTATTATTTCATAATTTATACCGCTGATTATATTAACACTTGATTTGTATTAAAAAGGATAAATTAACTAATTTAATTCTTCACAGATTCTAAAAACTTTCACGTGCATTTTCTAAATATAATTTCGTAAAAGTATCGATATTTTTGTTATTTAAGACTAATAAAAGTTTATGATGACAGCATCTGCAAATAAACTGTACGACAAAATCAATCAAGTTGTAAAAATTAATATTAACACGATTGAAACATGATATCAATCGTCAACTTTAATCGGTCATAACTCGAAAATTATTACGACCGCAGCATATTAAGATTTTCGACTGTAATTAATCTTCAAAATATATTATGTTACTGCATTATATGACATTATAAAAAATTGTTCAAGCGGTAAATATGAGATATCCTCGATGTAATAGTCTTAAATTAAAATTTTATTAAAATTTGTTCGAAATGAATCAAAATCATTTTGCAGGAGATAATTATAAAAAAAATTGTATATATATATATATATATAATTAGTATATATATATATATATATATATTGTATTTAAGTTGTATAAAATATATAAATTAAATTATATGTTATAAAATAAAGCAAATTATATTCCATTGTGTAATTGAAAAATTAGCAAAAATGATTGCAGCATTCTGATTCCCGGTGCTTCTGCGACACAATATTAATGGATATCTTTCTTTCTTTCTTCCTTTTCTTTAATCTGGTCATCAGCAACGACCGCTCGTGTAGCCATTAGTCCTTAAATGTCGACACGACGCGATTACACAGGAGCGTTAAATGCGCGCCTCGCGTTAAAATGTGCAATAACGAATCATCACGTAAGGATCATCGATGTTAGCGACTTACGACGTCGATATCTTTATGTAACCGCGAGGACGAATGATGTCACGTTCGAGTGTATTCACAATAGCTGCAAAATATCGTTGCCTACGTGCAACGGTACAAATTGCTGCTTCTTCGTTTTCTTTGTCCTCGTCTCACTCGCGCTACCACGACGACTATAAAGCATTCTCGACTCATCACGCAGGAACGAACGTTCCGATAAAGAAATAAACGTGACGGATTCGCACGCGGAATTACGATAAGGTATGCGGAAGAGGTGTCAGCGATAAGTCGACGTCTCATTTAAATCCAAACTTGACGTAAGCAACTTCGTGAAAAAATGTGATCAAAGTCTGAAGCCAATAGATATTCGAAGTTGACTTTAATTTTAGTCAAGTTAAAAGCGACATTAATTTCCATACTATTAATACCAAAAGAGAAAGAGGGTTGTGTTGAAATTATTTCATTCCCGATAAAATAATTTGTAATTGTAATTTCTAATGAACATTAATTATTTATACATTACAAGTTAATAAGTAAACCTATTATTTTAATCGCTTCATTATGAAAAGAACGTTGAGTTTTTTTATATGCAAATGAACCGTTTTATCGCCGGTAATCTGAAGATTAAAGCAGATGCTAGTTAAAGGATGCGATCGAGACACTCCGCTGAATATCAATGCTCAAGATCGCGTCGGTCCCTCTCAGCTTGGCGAGACGATGAGGACGAAAAGGAAGAAACTGGAGAAACTCGTCGTTCCATATGGGAAGCGATAAAATAAAGGTAAGACAATCTGCATTTGTTAAAAGACATCGCATATATCTACTTACTTGTCAGCATAGTTCGTTTCTCCTTGGCGATATCACTCAAGAATACCGCACACGAAGGACACACCTGAAATCAAAAGTCAAAGAAGATTATTTCTGTAAATTATCTACATAAAGGAATATTGATGACAAACAAGACCGAGGAGGCGTCATAAATTCATGCGTTGTATGTCATCGCGCACTTTTACGGATACGAACAACAAAATATATAGAATGATAGATTATAGAATGATAGATTAAGTGCAATACATAAATTCTACTTTAAAAAGTGATTAACATCGCCAACCTTGTAATATAAAATATAGGTAGCTTAAATGTTGATTTTTCATGATTTAGGAAGGAACGTTTCTATAAATATTTTAACGCGGCGATATATCGATATGAGAGGATTGACGTGAGTTGTCGGAGTAGTTCGGCGCATCCGTCAGCGCATTAGCTGCACTCGCATATATATATATATATTGTGTGTGTGTGTG